AATAATTGATCCAAGCAAATCTCAAGGTACCGGATTTGATGAATTCTGCAAAACTTCAAACGTGTCTACTAGTAAAGCATTGTATTGACAAAAACGTATGCAGTAACTTTGACAATTATTTTGAGCGTCTACAACATGCGAAAAATACCCACAATAACGAACTCAGCCTTAGAATTCCTAAAATAAAATTAGAATGTACAAAATGTGCTTTTTATTACAAAGGGACAATTGAATTTAACAAACTACCCCATAATGTCAGAGTAATTGACAGCTTTATGTTGCTTAAAAGAGCACTGAAAGAACATTTTAACCTGTAGCACAAATGAATTAGTTATTTTAATATACCAATAGTGTTCCCTAGTTTATATCCTTTGTATTATATTGTTGTAAATTAGGTCTTAGTTCACACAATGTTAAAGATATAGTTTTTATAATTGAAACAGGACACACATTGATAGCAGTAATTTATCACTGAAGTGTTTTTATCCTGTGTAAATATTCTTTAATGATAACAACAACAACAACAACAACAACAACAACAATAGCTTTATGAATCCTACAAGTAAGAAACGTCTTGTTGAAAGCAATAAACTTAAATACGAAGAGATGGATTCTATGCATAAAAAGAGTTTTCTCGATAAAAATGCGCATAAATACAAGGAAATGGACTCCTTGAAAGTAACAAAACTAGGTACAGGGAAATGGACTCTGTGAAAAAAAAATGCACTCGTACAAAGTAACAAAACTAAATACAGGGAAATGGACTCTGCGAAAAAAAATGCGTTAATTCAAAGTAACAAAAGTAAATTCAAAGAAATGGACTCTGCGAAAAAAAATGCACTCAGCGAAAATAACAAAAGTAAATACAGAGAAATGGACTCTAGTAAAAAAGAAGTGCTTCTTCAAATTGCAAAGGTAAATACCAAGAGATGGTTCCCATAGAAAAAAATAGCCTTCTTGAAAATAAGAAGATGAAATGCATGGAAATAAATCCTTTCAAAAAGAAACACCTTCTTGACAAATATGCACGCAAATACCAAGAAATGAACTCTCACAAAAAGAATGCTCTTCTTGAAAAAAAGAAACTTAATATCAAGAGATGGGTCCTGCAGAAAAGAAACAACTTTGTGAAGAAACTTCACGTAAATACAAAGAAATCGAACCATGTGAAAAAAAAGGTACTTCGTGAAAAACGTGCAATGAATTACGAAACAATGGACTCTGGTGAGAAAGAAGTTTACCGTGAAAAAAGTAGAACAAGCAAAAACATAAGCGTCAAGAAAACAAGTGAAACTTAACATTGTATGATTTTATAGCAATCTTTAACAGAAAAAAATCAGAGAAGGTCCTTATTTCATATGTTCGGTCTGCAATCGTCTCTTGTATAGAAAGTCTGTGAGATCTCTTAAGAGACAAAATTATGATCCCATTCCAAACTCTGTATTTACGAATGTAACATCATTTGACAACAAATAATATAATTGTGCAACATGTCATTCAAAGGGTAAAATCCCTTGTCAATCAGTGTACAACAACATGTCTGTTGATGAAATTCCAGTGAAACTTGCAGCTCTAGAAAAACTTGAACAAATTCTTATTGCACAAAGAATTGTTTTGAAAAAATAATTGTAATGCCAAAAGGACAACAGAAAAAAATTGCTGGCGCAATTTGTAATGTACCAGTTGATTGTGATCAAATATGTAATGTATTGCCACGCCCTCCCGAAAGATCTGGTATAATAATGCTAAAACTTAAATGTAAACTTGAATTCAGAGTTCATGTTTATTTCAAAGCAGTGCGTCCACAAGTCATTCAAGATGCCTTGAATTGGCTTAAACAGAATAATTATTTGTACTCCAGTGTAGCAATTGACATAAATAATATGGGTGACAATCTTAAAGAATTAAGGGAACAGGTGCATAATACACCTGCAAAAACATCTTCAAATAAATTACCAGATAATGATCATAGTGACAATGAAGAAAACGACAATTCATTAAATAAATATCGCAGGAAACATGCCTACAGTCAACTCTACCAGACTATCCTGTAACTTCACAACAAGTGAATGTTTCATTGGGTAATGAGATTTACAATATTGCACCTGGAGAAAATAGACATCCTGCATCAATAATGACTCATCATGGATGTGAACCGCTTGCTTTCCCAGTATTATTTCCAAAAGGACGCTTTGGTTACAAACATGAAAGAAAAATATCGTTATCTCCAGCAAAATACTTTAATGCTTGGCTTTTGCATTACAGTAGAAGATTTGCTACAAATGCAGAATATCTCTTTTTTGCACAATTCCTCATGGAACAAAAGAAAGTTGCTGATAGTATTAATATAGCTTTAAAAAAGATCCAAGGGCAACCTGTTACTGTATCACAAATGAAATCAGATATAAATAAACTAAAGAGTTTGGTATGTCAAGATCAAGCATATCTGTTCTTAAGACAAATTCCTGGTACACCACATACTGGCAGAAATTTATGTACGAAAATGTTGCAATGGTAAAACAACTTGGCATTCCAACATGGTTTATTACATTATCATGTGCTGACCTCAGGTGGACCGAGTTGTTTCAAATAGTTGCTAGAACGCTTAACCCTTAGCCTTAACTTATGCTGAAAGATGTCAATTGCTAAATGTAAATCCAGTTATTACAGCAAAACATTTTCAACACAGATTTGAAACTTTCTTTCGTCAGGTTGTAACTTCTAAGTGAAATTAACCCAATAGGGAAAATAATCACTACGCTCTTCGCATTGAGTTTCAGATGAGAGGATCACCACATTTACTTGCATTAATATGGACATCTGATTGCCCAAGGCTTACATCAGAGACAAAAACCAGTTTTGCTGAATTTATTGATCAACATGTGCAAGCTGTCCTTCCAAATGAAGAACACGAACCTGAACTGCATAATTTAGTCAAAATGTATCAAAAGCACACCCATTCAAAAACCTGTAGGAAATATAAAACATAAGTTGTTGTTTTAACTTTGGACAGTTTTTTACAAAACAAACTATAGTTGCTGAACCTTTAGATGAAACATTGATGACGAAGTCAAACTAAATATTCTAAACAGACGTAAGGACATTCTCTCCTTAGTTAAGCAAAAAATTGATGAAGTGTTAAATCCATCTAACAATAAGTATGATGCAACTTTAACACAGAAAAATATCTTTAATTCAGTAGGTATTACTGAAGAAGAATACTACAGAGCACTATCAATTTCAGCAGACTCTGATTTTGACCTATACCTGAAACGGCCAGTAGACAGTTGTTTTATTAACAACTACTTTGTTGCTAGTATCAAAGGATTTGCAGCAAATGTTGACTTACAACCAGTTTTCAATCACTACAAATGTGTGACATACGTTTGCTCCTAGTTCACAAAGGATGAAATTGAGTGTTCCCAAGCTATTGTTAACGCAGCAAAAGAAGCCAAGTCATCAAATATGAATGTCAGAGATGGGTTGAAAAAAATTGGTGCTGCTTTTTTTTCTACAAGGGAAGTTAGCTCACAAGAATGTGTGTATAGATGTATACCTGAATTGTGGTTGAGAAAAATCCCCAAAACAATATTTGTTAGTACCTGAGAAGAGAATACGTGTAAGCAAAACTGAAAATGAGCTTGATGAACTTGATGAAGAGAGCACTGATATATTTAAGTCTAATATCATTGAATGTTATAGTTTAAGACCAAATTGAGTCCCATCTGTCGATGCCTTATGTTTAGCGCAATTTGCTACACTATATTATAAGGATTATAAACGAGATGATGCAGAGACAAAAGATTCTCAACCTAGTTGTTTAGATGACGATCTACTTGAATCACGTAACTCAACTCTCGATAATGTTGATACTGGTCTTCCCGCTAAAATAAAATTAATGAACAAAAATGAATATGTGAAATGTAAAGTTAAAGCTGTTTTAAGATATCACACACCAAACAAAAAAAAGAACCAGAATTATACTTTCATCACTTGCTCATGTTGTATTATCCATGGAGAGAAGAGACAGAGCTATTATCTGCAGATCAAACATATTCATCTAAGTTTCATGACGCTGACGTTCAAGCTATCATTGGAAGGAACAGAACAATGTTTGAACCTAACACGGATGCGATAACGGAAACGAGTCAATGAGAAGCAATCCAGGAACAAACCATTCCTTTTCATACGACTCAATAAATGATCAAGAAAACTCTGATATTCAAGAAGCACCAAACGATCTAAATCCTGACAAATCATTCAATGAACAGCAGCCATCAGATTTAGGCCAAACACAACCATGCAGCCTTCTTCTGGAACCATCACTCACCACACCCAATCATCAGAAATTTCTGATGACGAGCTACATCAATCAGTTAGATCTTCGAATCCAGAACAGAGATGAGCCTATGATATAGTTCTGTCTTGGTGTAGAAGATTAATAAAAAACATGAATAGTTTGAAACTCGTTGAAATAGAACCAATCTATCTCTTTCTTCTTGGAGGTGGCGGTGCTTGTAAAAGTCATTTGATAAAAACTATTTACCACACAGCAGTTAAAACGTTTAGACATCCTCCATTTAACCCAGAGTTACCAACTGTTTTATTAATGGCACCAACAGGAGTTGCGGCAATAAATATTGATGGGACAACTATAAATACGGCACTGGCTATTCCTAATAAAGCTAATGATTACATTCTGCAATGTCTAATCAAAGGAGAACACAGTACAGACTCACTTTGAAAGACGTAAAACTTATTAAAGTAGATGAGATTTCTATGGTGGGAAACATACTCTTTTACACATCCACCAACGATTAAAAGAAATTTTTGGATGCTCATCTTCCACCTCATTTGCAGGCATTAGTATAATAGCTGTTGGCGACTTCTATGAACTTCCCCCAATAAAAAAGAAAGCAGTGCTCGATAATTACAAAAACCAAGTTCAAAATCTTTGTCATCCATGGAGTGTCTTTAAAATGGTTGAACTAACAGAAATCATGAGACAAAAAAACGATAAAGCATTCACTGAACTCCTTAACAGAATCAGAACAGCCTCCCATACAGAAGATCATATTAAAGTTATTCAGTCAAGATCCATTGAACCATACGATCCAAACTATCCATCTGATGCACTTCATATTTTTGCTGAAAATGCTCCTGTTAATGAACATAACCAAAAGAAGCTTGAAGAAATTCAAAGACCTCTCTTTATTCTTAAAGCAAAAGATCAATATCCAAAAAACATCAATAAAGCAGACATTAATAAACTTTTAGCAAGAGGACGGTCTGACACATGTGGACTTGATTATGAAATACGAATTAAAGAAGGTGCCAGAGTAATGCTTACTACAAATATCAACATACAAGATCAACTTATCAATGGTCAAATTGGAACGATAGCTAAAATTAATATTAATTCAAATAATGAACCAAATGTTTTATATATTAAGTTTGATGATGAGAAAGCTGGTAAAACTACAACAAACACCACTACCAACATGTTTGCAAGAGAGAATCATGTTGTACCGATAGAGCCTGTTCTTGCAAAAATCAAAGTTAGACCTGGAAAAGCATCATCTCCAGAAATACAGAGAGTACAATTTCCTATCGCACTTTCATGGGGATGCACTGTTCACAAAGTTCAATGTCTTACTCTGCAAAATGTAGTTGTTAGCATGCAGTTGAATAAACAAAGATATTTTAATTATGGTCAGATATATGTAGCCTTAAGCCGGGCAACGTCTTTACAAGGTTTACACATCCTCGGAGAAATACAAAATAAACACATAAGGCGAATCCTAAAGTTGACGAAGAATATGAGAGACTTCAAAACGCTGATGATTTAATAGAAAGTATTAGAGAGAATGAAAACTCACATTTTACCATATCTTTTTTAAATATTAGATCTTTAAGAAAGCATAATAAGGATATCAAGTCTCATTGTCAATTGTTTAAATCTGATGTTCTTGCATTTACTGAAACACAACTTTTACCTAATAATTCGTTACATGAAATTACAGAAAACTTAAATCCTTTCAAAATATATCGTCAAGATCATATCACAGACAAGTATCTAAGTATGGCAATCTGTATTAGCAGTACTTTGGAAATGGAGAATTATCAATATATACCTTTGATAAATGCGCTAAAGTTTGATCTGCTTCATACTGAACAACAACAAACACGTTCTTTTCTTTTACTGTATAGAAAAAACAACTCGAATGTTCTACAATTTTTGGAAAGATTGGAATATGTGCTTCGTAACTCCAACATTCACATGGTCTTAGGGGATTTTAACATAAACTATTTAAATGAGAATCATTGTCAACCACTTACGCTTTTTATGAAGTCATTAAACTATACCCCAATTGTTACCGAACCCACATTTAGTTAGATCATGTCTACATTACAACAACTTCCTTACAAATAATCAGGAATTCCGTACTCAGTGTTTATTATTCTGATCCATAATGCTGTTGTTACCTGCATAAAAATGCTAAATAATTACTTTATAACAGGTCATCGTATATTGGAACTGTTCTATAGCCTTTATTACAAATCAAAATGGTGCACACATTTAACAGATTTTTACAATGTACCTTAGAATGCCTGTGTATATCATATGATGCCAACTATTTCATCCAATTATTACATGTATAATGAAACAATGTTATAATATATACAGAATATATGGACACAATATTTTGAGTTTCTCTCACTTTTGGTTACATTGAATATGGAAAATTTACCGTTATTCAGTTACCATGAAAAAAGAGAGTTAAGCCTTTGAAATTATTTTATTGCCTGTATGTTACTTGTGTGAAAATCGAAATCGTTTTCAAAGCATTTGAAAGATAGTGGATATAATTCTACAACCAAGAGGTAAGGAATATTCTGTGCCTTAAAATACACTGTCGCTGATTGCTTTGCTAGCTTCACTCGATATATGATGATTTCTCAACCGTTTAATGGTTTAATTTGAGATAAAATCGTACACATCTAAAATTTAACCATGACCAATTGAGATTTTTTTGGAAAGAAAGAAGCCAGGATCTCAATCAGGAATTTTGTTTTCAAGTCTGTAACATCTTAATCTTTATGAAATCAATCTAACAGTTGAGTTCACAGGCAACATTCCATACTTAGTAGCTACGCCTATACTGAATTCCGAAACGTCTTCTATTAAAAACGACGGAACGTGCTTGTCAGTGCAACGACTTTCAGTTCAGAACTAAGTTACATAAAACGAACTGTTTTAAATTCAAACTTTAAATAAAAATTATTGCTTTTTCTTTATTCTCTTACAATCCCAAGGTCAACCCTTTCTGTTCTCTCTTTCAACACCTTTACATTACTCTGATAAATATTACGTTTGTGATGTCCTCTTTGTTATATCGTATGACGTGTGTGAATACTCTTATGTTCCTTTTATTTCGGAATAATAAACATGTTCACCAGCTCCCCCGTTGTTTATACCATTATGTGTGGAATACTGCAGCACCAAAGTTATCGGACTCATTGCCAACCTCGAATATGTAAAAATGTATCTGGATTACCAAAGACTCGTTACCACCATAATAAAAACGTTATGTATGATAGATAACATGAACTTCCAATCTACCAAACAATACTGGCATGACAGGTGTATACCACGTTATCTTGCACAGAGATCATGACTGGCATGACAGGTGTATACCACGTTATCTTGCACAGAGATCATGAAAATTGCTCCATTTTCTTGAGTGCTTTGACAATCCAACAAACAAGCTCAATGAAACTCAACAAATATAATCAACATATGTGGAGGATCGACTCTCGTGACAATGATTTCATGCAAACGCAAGTTACACCTCAGGAAAATTATAAAAATTAAAAACAATGGAAGATCTTACAAATATTTGATTTTACTATGGCTTATAGAATCATCTTGTTGCTTCAATATAATACACAGATTTCGAAAGAATATTGCTACACAAAAGACCAACTTCTCTTAATCGAAACGCCAAGTCGATATTATTAATTAATCCATATGAAATCAACAATTTTCAATAAAAGGATCACTACTCGACGATGTCCATCAATATACAGACATAAAATGCGTATAGAGAGCCAACGATTATTGCAGAAAACTATGAATGAACATTTTCTCCTCATTCCCAAGGTCGACCTTTCTAATATTCTCTTCTAATATTTCTAATATTCTCTTCTAATATTTCTATGTTAATAAAATGTCTAACATGTTTGTTATGTGTTGTCCTGTTCGTCCTCTCAGGAATGAGCAAAGCCAGACAAATTTGTCTGATTTGTAAATGTGACGTCTCGTATGTGACATTCTTCTTCAACATCTATTCCTTTTCCACTGTCGTTTTGCTATTCAACTTTGTCATTTTGTCACTTTAGTGATACTTGTGTGTGTCAATTTTGTGATTGTGTTTATTTCATTGTCTTTCTTAATATCTTTAATTCAAATCAAAATTGAATCTAATATCCACAAATTACAATTAAAACCAATGTAATTATGAATATATTATATCACTATTCTTTGAACTGAACAGAAACATGTATACCAGCTTCCATATTACTTTTACCTGTCAATTGTCTAATACTATTAATTTTCATATAATAAAATCGATGATTATGTAAATATCAATGGTTTCTTATTAACAAAAGTTACTTCAAAATACCATCTCAATCAGATTTGACTCCATTTAGAGGTTTTAACAACACAAAGGTTCAAATATTTTTTGCAAATAGACGCTCAACTTCCTCATAGAGGAAAAATCTAATACCGGCAAAGCTACTATCACCGACGTGTGCTAAAATATGATCATACCTTTCTTTCCGCTTTTTTCAACAAAAAGTTCAAAGAATCTAAAAATTCTGGCCCTTCTACTACACTTCTTAAAATGATCTCTCCGAAAATCGCAACAAAAATTGCAATTGTAGCAGGGGACAAAATGACACTAAACAACAAGATCTCCAAGAACATTCTAGCTGACACGAGCTTTAATGAAACCCCTCTATTAACCCTGGTGAAAAAAGACACCTGCTTAGACGTTAACTCCAGGTTATGTGCCATGCCAGTGCATGGGCCAGCAATATAATAATTCTTATATGCAATGTTCCTAGTTCCTAAAAAGAAATTCTTATATAGCTTAGTGGCCAGCATCCTTGTTCCCAGATAATTGGCCAGTGAAGACGTCACGGAAATTTAAAGTACACAAAATGAGGCGGAATAGAGGCTAGTCTAACAATCGAATGCTCAATCCTCATTTTAATTTTTTTTATTTTGTTTAAATATTCAAGGGATTGAGAAAGTTTTGTGCAATTTTTTATGTGAAAGGTGAGTTACTTGAAATGCAAGAGAAGATTACTATATTTGTCAGAAATTTGAGTTGAACTAGCATATGGGACCAAGGTGTATTTTATGGTCGCTCACCCCACGTGTTAGAGTTGTACGTATTAAGAAGTGTTTTTTCTTAGATAAAGATGATTGTTAGATTGGAAGTTTCATTATAAAACATGGTGACCTGTGTTGACAAGATGTAGTTAAAAAGGGACAGGTATTTTGAGTATTTAGGAAGCTTAAATGTTCTGTATGAGTATGTCTGGCTAAAAATTAAATTTTGTGTATGAAAAGGCAGTGTCCAGTGAATTTGTTCAATATATAGGATATGTCAGACTTTAATTGGGAGAGAAATTTTTAATTGTGAAAGTTATAGGCACATAGTTGTGATTGAAAACTTAAGTGTTAAAGAAACTAGAAAGTATAGAACAAATAATGAAAGTGAACAATCAGATACTGTTCAATTAACTTTTATTTAAAAATGGATTTTTTTAGAAAACAAGTACTTACAGTGATAAAAATTATTCAGAAAAAACTACAATTTCAAACTTGAACAGCCTGAATAAGCATAAAAAACACTAAAATGTCAATTAATAACTTAGTTAATGTCCAAAGTTTCAAGGTCATCTTTTGGCATTTCAGAATCTTCATAATGGATAGCACTTTCTATGTTTTCGGTTTGGGTCTATCTCCAGTGTGTATTTTGTTGTCAGCAGAAGAACCTTATCTTTTTCATCTCTGTCCAGTTCAACAAGCTCAAAATAACCTAAGGAGAAAGTAAAGAAATCTTAATTTAATCTACATATAAAGAAGGGAACCTTGGTTAAACCTTAAAGAAGAATAGTTGAGTGGGTTGACATAATTTAAAATTATTTAACTGTGACCTTAATATACTTACAGATTGAGTTGCTGTGTGCCAGTTATTATCTATCTGAAAGCATCACCAGGCACCGGTTTGTAACAGTAGCTAGTCTTGAGAAGAATGATCCCTTGCAGGATGCACAATCCATTGTAACCGAGTTGACAGCTGTTTGGACAATGGTTGACTTACAGAGGAAGCACTTGCGTGCGTACTGAAAGTTTTTTTTACTGAAAGTTTCGTACTGAATTTCTTTGAACATAAATTTAATGTCTTATTCATTGTACTCATCAAAAAGTTTTTTGTGACAATTTATATTTAGAACAGAACATTATTAATAGTGGCAATTCATGGCTAAATATATAAACTGAGGTGTCTGTTACTCCAGAAAACAATGATGTAATTCATCAAGATCCATATCTCTATTTTAGTCTTTCTAATTAGAAAACAAAAGATTTGATGACTAAGAGTAATTTTAAGGCTCCCTCCCCACTAAACTGTCAAAAATTGAAAGGACAACATTAAGTGTCAGTTGGTGTTTTTCGTTTTAAAATTGATTTTCTTTCATGCATAAAATCTATGATAAGAGTTATTGATTTGTATTTAAATTAAAGAGGAACAATTTGGCAATTTAAAGTTGTTTTGGTTCTTGAAACTCTTAGAAATTGAAAAGGGATTGAAAGATAAAGTGAGAGTGGGATGCTTGGAGATATTCTG